AGAGCAGGATCAGGTCTTAAATGCACAAAAGAAGGGATCAGATTTTGCAGCAAAAATCCAGGCCGGCAGACTTGGATGGAGGATGGTTTGCAACACATCACGGGTGGTGATAAGAGACAGATGCATGCCTGCTCCCCTACCTTTCCTTCCTTGCCACATTGAAGGGGCTAGGGGCCCAGGTGCCTTAGGCCCGAAGAGAAGCACCTGGGCCTTGTAGTTTGATGCACATACCTACAGATCAATACTAAGCCTTTATATCATCACATCCAGTAGTTCTTACAAGGCAGTACTTGGCCCTGCAGGGAACAGCGGCAAGCACTGCAGGGGTGGAGGAGGGTGGGCTCTTGCTCTTTGCTACAGTTCAAATATTCTCTCCCCTTAGTCTTGTCTCATCCAAAAATGAATCCCGACTTTCCTTAATGTTACCCGCAGGTTAATTTTATATTATGTTTGGAATCATTTCAACAGCTTGGCATGTGGTTAAAATAAAAGCAAAACCAAATGCCCTTCATTTCTCCTGTTGAAACCACCCTTGGTTTGGCTCATTTGACTCTGGTGTCATTCGAAGATGAATAGGAGGGTTCATTTTCATCTTGTCATTTTTTGGTGGTAGCCTAAATAGCCTCCAAGCAACTCCCAAATTAGATTTCTGAAGCCACACACTTCCATAAAATAATTACCTAGCATGCAGGAGGATGGGCCAGAAACTTAATATGATTTATTGGCTTTAGCTTAGCTATCATCTATTTGTTATTGTAGGGAACGAGTATACAATAGGACTATAAACACGAGGAGGCTATCAGCATTCAGCCAAGAATTCGAAAACAGATGCTCTCTAAAGACCGCAAAAAATAGGAGTTGATCAAAATACTCCTTCCATTACAAGAGCTGCGAGTTGTAAAAACGTCCTAAACATTACATGGTGTAACTAAGACGTGATGTGAACACAGCCATTTGAGTGGAGGAGGAGAAAGGCCTGTACCTTTGCATTTGTACAGGTTGTACGTCACTTTGGAAGGCAGAGAATTTTGCCATCCTGCTTTGGACCCGACTCAAACCATGACCGTGAAACCCTGCACAGATGACAATGTCTTTAGCCTCAAACAGAACAGCAGCGCAAGTAACTTGTAGTAACTGACTTTTTAAAATTAAATTAGCCTGTCCCCCCACCAAAACGCCAAACATCTACAAGTATCACGAACTTTCCTAGAATGTCCTAGTTTACAGCGTGCCACACTGTGTGTTTTCACAAAGGCTTGGTTTGTCTATGAATTGATCATCTTATCTGCAACTCTTCCAGAGAGAGCGTTCAAAAGGCACCAGTTCATTGGGACTGGTCTGATAAATCAGATGGTGCTATTTCTCTCCCTAGTCATATAAGCACTTCTTGGATATTCACATTTTAAAATGCAGTTTTTGTGAATAATTTCAATCAAAGGTGACTTTGAAATTTGATTTCTGTCAATGCTCATAGGTTAGCAAAAATCAACACCCCTAGACCCAACTATCACCAAAGCAAAGTAATTTCTTTAAGAGGAGACTGGACAAGCGCCTGGCTGGAGTCATCTGACCCCAGCGCTCTTTCCTGCCTCGGGGAGGGGTCGGACTCGATGATCTACTAAGGTCCCTTCCGACCCTAAAAAAATCTATGAAAAAACATCAAAGTCCTGTGCTGGAGCTGAACTTTGTGGCTGGGCCTTTCTCTAAGTCTTGGCCCAAATAAAAATTAGATCTGGGTACTCCTGGTTTGGGGAAAATATGGATCTGCATTTTTTTTTTTTTTTTGGTAGCTTGGGCCCATCATTATTCTTCCTATGTATTTTTGGGGTAATTCTACAGAGGGAACTTGCACTTTATTAAAAATGCTACAGGAAGCTGACAGCATCAGAGGCACAACGCTCCTCTAACAAAACAGGCTTCTCAGTTATTCTTTAGGCAGCTGAGTAGGTTGACAAAGTGTTGGGTGCTTAGCGCTGCTGGAAAGACAGGGCTGGTTATTTGGGCACCTAGGAGCTTAACTTGAGGCATTCATTTCTGAAAGTCTTATCCTACGCATGCTTTAAAAGACAAAATCTGCTATTTTTAGGTATACTGGAATAAATCTGAAGGAATTCCACAGGGTCACCAAAGTTATTCAGGAGTTGTCCCAAAATAACAAAAGCAGAACGGGCTGCAAAATATCCCCATCATCCATTAGCTCAGCAGTGAGGCTTCTTTTTACTATTTGTACAAGGGCCCTCATTTAAATGCAGGATTTAACAACAGGCAAAGGGTCAAACAAGGAAAATCCTGTGTGCTGAAAGAGCTACTCCAGTAAATCCCCCGAACATCAGGCAATTCATCAATATGTCAGCTGAAGCCGAGTTAGGCATGACGGCAGTTATTCCACCTGTAAGGCAAGGCACGGTTGCATCTGCACGTGGCTGGAATTTCAGGATCACCACTTACTTGTGCCCAAGCTCATGAGCAATGGTAAACGCCAGATTGAGACCGTTGTCTTCTGCAAGAACACACTTTCTCTTGGCACTGCATACGCCTCCCAGGTAAGCAATCCCTGCGGCAGACATAGAAAACATTCCCATTAGCCCTAGCTAAGGGGCTCACGCATTCAACACAGCCAGAGCAGTATGAAAACCAATAGAAGAACTGGAAAATACTACAGCAATTTTTCAGGACCTCATCAGAGACCTACATATACCCTCTGAGCTTCCAGCCTTGTTTTGATCCCATAGAAACAACTGAGTTTGGCACATCCGCTGTTGAGGCTTTCCTTAGGGAATATATTGTCATCATTAGCAGAGATTGGGGTGAGCTCGTCTATTAACAAAAGGATGCTGCTAGGGATCCTCAGCGGGCGGCGATGCGAAGTTCTCCTTGCCTCCAGTATCATGTCAGAGAAAAGCCAAGTACCAAAAAAGCCAGAGGCACTTTTAAAAGGACTGAAGCTTGCCCTTTTTTGGCAAGGTATTCTTGCATTTAGTGAAGCGAGAGGGGTAGAGACGGGGGTGTTGATACACTAGGTACAAAAAGGCTTAAGGTTAATAGAGATGGTAAAGTCGTCTGTTGGTCTAAAGGAATTTAGGACTTGCCCTCGCCAAGGCTTACCCACGCAAGTGCATGAGCACTGGACTGGGCTCCCGAGATGCCTGCAGACCACATTTCTCATCGTTCAACATGCAGCACTCCCAGTTAGGTCAATGGGGGATTTAAGCAAAGACTAAGAATATGGCCAAATAGAGCCCCGGCTACGTGCAGAAAAGTTTTCCCGTGCTGCTGACTAGGCAAATCTCAAATGCCACGGAAACATTTCAAGGGTGTTTGCAAACTAGGATTTCCCAAGAAATATGCAGCAAACTGAATGCTGAAGATCAAACTGCTAATTCAATTAGGACCTTATACAATGCTAGGAAAAGGAGGAAGTGCCAAGACCGTCAATAATTGCATTTTAATTTTTTCAAGGCCTTTTTTTTAAGCAGGAGACAAGGGATCTATTTAACATGCAACAAATGCCATTCCCACACAGAGGTGGCTTTGGGTTCGGCTGCCTTTAACAATTATAGTAAAACGATGACAGCAGCTGTGCTATAAAGGCAACATCATAGATTTTTTTTTTTTTATCTCAGACCATTCAAGCTGACAGCATCTTTCTTTATCAGGTCACAAATGGTGTACAACTCTGTGATTAGGCTTGGAAAAAGTCCACTTTTGGTTCTTTTTTATGACTTCTGATTAATAACATGGATATAATTCTTGTCCAGGGATCTAGGGTGGAACATAGGCCGGGGGGACAGACTTAAACTTTTGCATTAGCAGTTGGGATGGGGACAATGGGAACCTCAGCTATCCTGGCTCCACACAAGGAGGTGGGTGGGCTTTTAGGCCCACCCCTGGGTAAAGCCCCTCTTAATTACAAGGATGGGCAGCAGGTCCTGGGGACCTCAGATGTTAATCATTGCTTATTCAATAGGCAATGACCGTGTAAGTCCGGATTCACACCAAGTTTAAATCAACGGTCCTGCAGTGCTAGATTTCCTCATATTGACGAGTGCTTTACTGAAGAGCCAGGCAACAGGGCTCCTTATGGGGCAGCGTGATACACACGGGGATAGAGGGAGCTCGTGGGCCATCAAGTCCTATTCGCTGGCATTGCAACTAACCGTGGAATAAAACAATCATGCTCCATCCTATACCACTGTGGGGGTTTGTGCATCTTGGACGGCTGCTCCAAGACCTTTAGGCTCCGAGCATGAGAAACCAAGACCTTTATGCATGAGAGCATAAAGACCTTTATGCATGAGAGCATGAGAAAACCGTTTTCTACTTTCTAGCCTACATTCAAAGTCAGGGAATGAAAAGCCATCCTAGAGAACTGACAGCTCAGTGCACTGATAGCAGCTGACAACGTCTGTTAAAGGTCTATGACTGCTTCTGACGGTGCCTGTTAATGGTGGCAGAGTATTTCTGGTTGATTTCTGAAGTTCACTGCATTAAGGCCCTTGCCACGTACCCTTCTGGCAATGTATAAATAATAATACCCTTGCTGGTTACAGGCTAATCTTTCCAGCCAAATTCGGGGTCAACGGTTGGTGGGAACATATTCAGCATGCAAAGGGGCAGTTTGGGGAAATGGTAGCGTACTGTAAAACCAATAATAGAAGGGATGGGATTAAAGATGAACTGCAAGACACTCGATTAAGGGAAAGAAAAATGTAAGAGCTCTGAGCTGAAGTTGGGGATGGAAAGGGTCAATTAGGTGACCAGCCAATCTCCTACTATTGCAGAGCTGGACCCAGATCTCTTAAATATTCTCCCAGCATCTAAGGAGGAAAACTGGGTGCAAGGAGGGAGGAAAACTTTTGGCCACAGCTGCTTCTCAAACAGAAAGGAGGTTGTGCACACTGCTGCCTTACCGCATTGGTATTGGTCCCTCTTTCTATGGGGACAAGGGACTAAAGAGTCCATATTATGGAGGGTTTGGGACCTTGTCCTTTCCCTGCCCACACACATATGCACACGCACACTCTCCTATAGAGTGAACACAGGGACCACCCGTGGACTGGGCTGCGTGCCATTCCCGATGCGTGTACCCCTTGTGTGACCTCCTCCTCCCACACACACCACAGAGAAAGGCGATTGTTCTGCATGTGAGGCCCCCCCATACTTTGTCCTCAACAGAAAGGCCCTGAGGACCCTTCAAGCTCCTCTACCCATCAGTCTCACGTCTGCTCCAGGAGTTGGGCTTTGCAGGAGGACAAGTATATTAGTGAGCCATGCCTGGGACAGCCAGAGAAAGGGAGCTATGGAGTTGAGGACCAGAAATTACCCTGCCAGTAGCTCTCCCTTTCCAGCCGGTGTACACAACCGCAGCAGATCACAACAGCTCCTTACAAAAAGGGCATGTGGGATTTCAAACGACCGTATCTCCCGAGGAAGTACTCGGATACAGTGGAGCACACTGCAGATGATTTAGACATCTAGTATAGTCACATGGAGAAAGACAAATGCATCGGCCAGGAGCAGAGCTCCAATGGTAGGAACAGTTGCACTTACCATGTTTGACCCTGACTCCATGAATTCAATGGCAAGACTATCAGTAGCTGCACTGGGACCAGTATTCCCCACCCTACCCTACTGGTTCAAAAGCCAGTGAATGCAACAGAAAGGTCTGTTATCATCAGTGGGGCTGGGATCAAGCTGTGCATTAGCAACAGAACATATTAAAGACAATGACACGGAGAGTCACACTGCAGAAGCAGCAGATGGGGACTTTCTACAGTCCCTTAAGCAGGTAAGAATTCCCTCCCTTGCAACCCATGGCCAGAGGCATGTCTCCTCCCCTTCCTCTGTCCTCACTAATGCAAGGGTGGGGGATGCTCTACAGCCACTTCCACCACACATTTTTCCAGTCCATCCAGGTCATTCTGGATCCTAGACCTGCCATCCAGTGTTTGCAACTACACCCAAGTCAACGTCACCCACAAATTTGCTAAGCACACGTTCAATCCCATCGACTAAATCATTAATAAAGACACTAAACAATACCAGACCCCGGACAGACCCCTGGGGAACCCTACTTGATATCCCCTCCCGACTAAGTGTTGAGCCACTGATGACTATTCGTTGAGCATGATGATCCAAACAGTTGCCTATCCACCTTATAGGACTTTCATCTAGTTGCGGAAAACAGCATCAAAATCCGTGCTGAAGTCAAAGCATATCACATCCGCGGCTCTCTCTCCCTACGCACAGAACCTTATCATAGAAGAAAATCAGGTTGGTCAAGCATGACTTGTTCTTGGTGAATCCATGCTGGCTGTTCCTGATCGCTTTTTTCTCTGCTAGGTGCTTCACTACAGATTCCTTAAGGACCTGCTCCATGAGCTTTCCAGGTATCGAGGTCAGTCTGACCGGTCTGTAATTCTCTGGATCTTCTTCCTTGCTTTTCTGAAAAATGGGCACCGTATTTGCCCTTTTCCAATCATCCAGGACCTCACCCAACCTCCATGAGTCCCCAAAGAAAATAGTCAATGGCTCTGAAATTATTAAATACTTTCAGTATCCTACGGTGCATCCCATCCAACCTTGCTGACTTGTGAAAGCATCTAGCTTCTCTAAGTAATCGCTAACCTTTTCTTCCGCTACTCTAGGCTGTTTGTCTTCTTCCCTATATTCACTGCCAACCATGCTCAGCCTCTGGCAGCTGCCCCTATCTGTGAAGACTGAAGTATAAAAAAATAAAAGCATTAAATACATCAGCTTTCTCTGCATCATCAGTAACTAGGTTGCCTTCTCCATTCCTTAAGGGACCTGTGGTTTATCGGCTCTTCCTCTTACTTCGACATATAAGTCCTTGTATGAGAAGACACTTAGAATTACATTTAGAAGATGCCAAGGTCATGGAAGGATGCAGCTGCCAGAGGGATCGATGAGATGACACGTGGCACAGAGTCCTCAAAACGTTGTGTAAGCTTGTCCAGTAGCTTATCCTTAGCACTCTCAGGTAACTGAGACTGAGATATTGTAGTAAAGGGATTTCTAGGAAGATGTGAAATTACATGCAGTTTTTTGTCATCAAGTGATACAATTCCACTAAAATACACCGTTTCTAAATCTATTCCAAGGCCTTCGTATCACTCCAGCAGCTGAAAGTTAGTCTCACAGCAACAGGACCAGAATGATCGCATTTTTTAAAGATTAGACAGTCTTAGGTTCAAAACCCATATCTGGCTTCTGTACCGTTAATCATCTAGTTTTCCATCTTGGGTACAAAAACTATGTCTTCTCATGTTAGATAAAACTATACCACAACTCTCTGGAATGTCCGTTGCATGAGAAGGTCACTGCAAAGCGATGGGGGAAATTGTCTCTAAACCTCTGATCAGCCACAGAGGGAAGCTTACTCGGTTTAAAATGACTCAAGCTTGACTTTCTCCCAGATAAACTTCATAAAAAGTGACTGCTGTGCTGGCACTCTCATGGAAGGGGACATGGGGCGATGCGGTCCAAAAGAAAAGTTCACACAGGGTTTTGCAACCAGCTAAAGGATAAGTTTCA